CTTTCATTCACACATCTCTAGGGCCAGTCCAACCCACTAGCCTTAAAATGCCGGGTTATAAATTACCGAACTCCAGGCTCTCTACCATGAGTACTGACAATAACCGATCAAAAGACAAATCATGACATAACATAAATAACAGAGCAACCATCGGCAAACTCGCACGCATACATAAACAAAATATACACAATTTATGTAGGCGTTGACAGTTGACATATTTGCACTGGCATAACAAAGACTAACACAAAACCAATATTCGGTCACTACATGTCAGAGATCGACTAATCGGATTGATTAGCAATATCGGTAAGATGGCTCTTTTCAAAGACACAAAAACAGTACATAAAACATATATCTCTGCGTATGTCAGTTCTGAACTTTAGCCAGCCTCTGTTACGTCAAACCGAGATATTAAACATCGGTATCAAATATAGCACAGTACATATTCGAAACAAGTCACCCTACCAAATATTAATAATCATAATCACCCGGTTCAAATAAATAGTAGGAGCATAACGATAGTATCACATTATAACAAACACCACGAAACATGTGGCAAACATTAGTATCAAGTAATTAATTCACAATGCCAAGTGCAATATGTAACAATCAACCACCTAACGTACGTCACTCGCCCCCAGGTGAAGCACCCTGTAAATACACAGTAACATATTCAGGCAAACAATAGCGAAATGCGCTGCAATAAATTCAATTATAAATTAAAATGTAGTTCTGCATACTTGTATTGAATATCGCCCCTGAGGGAACATACAGTATCTAAATACAAATAAAACACGTAAAGCGGTCAGTAATTCCTGTAGCCAGCGCTTGGGACAAAGGAAAACTGTAAATTGGAAAACAACAGATTTGTAGAATATATGCATTTAGTTCAAAGTGTGACCAATATAATTAAAAGTGCAATTTTTATCTAGAGTGTGTTCCAAATGGCAATAATCACGCTGTACGAGAATAATATTCAATTGGTAAATAATCGAACACGATCATATGATTATTAGATGGATGCAATAGACGCAGAGATAAAAAAACGAGTACATCACCTTTGTAATTGTCGAAACTGCACTCACCATTCGTAACGTAAAAATTACATCTGCCCTCAACAACAGCACAAATACCTCTGCTGCATTCTCTCCCTTTTTAAACAAATCCTAGACGAAAATTGTTAATGTCGATAGGGATCATTAAGTTCCCTCGCATAGCGTTATATTTGACACATTTATTGTAAATTATGGCCCATTTCAATGTAGAGCAGCGAAGAAAAAAAAACACGTGTTCCACGGAAACGAAACAGAGCGCAATCTTGACTTTTTTCGTCGCGCCAGGGTCGGTTTCGGGAATATTTAAATCGAATTTTAGCGGACTAATTCGGTCTTTATGTATGTGTTTTTTATAGTTGCGTGTATTAATGACCTGGTCTTGTATTGCTAACATGAAACCCTCAGTCTACGGGAAGATATCACATTCAGACAACCAAGTGTGCGTTGCTATAGAATCAACACAATCCTGGCTAACCTCTTGTGGAAATCGTCCATGTAAAGGCTTTTGGTTCCATGTCTGTATGTTATTTGTGATGTATGTAAGTTTGGATGTGGGTGGGAGTATATTAGTTTCGTGTAGGTTAAGTGGTGTGTAAGATTTGTCTGCATATGTTACTGTTTTGTGTAAGACTGAAGTATCTGATTTGTTATAAAAGTATTGTCGTAAATTGTGTATTTGTGTTTGGTGCAATAGTTTTATATCTGTAAGTCCTCTACCTCCTTCCGAACGAGGAAGGTAAAGTCGTATAGTAGAGGAGTGAGGGTGATGTATATGGTGTTTTGTTAATAGTGTACGTGTGTTTCTCTGTATTTGTTCTAAATCTGTATTTGTCCAACGTATAATCCCAAAAGAGTATGTAAGTACTGGTGTGGCATAAGTGTTAATAGCTTTGATTGTATTTCTACCGTGTAATTTTGTTTTAAGTATACTGCGTATTCTTTGTAGGTATTGTGTGATAAGTGTTTGTTTTATACTCGTATGTTTAATGTGTGTGTTTTGCTGAAATCCAAGATACTTATAAGTTTCATTCTCGTCCATGGAATTTATTAAATTACCCTGTTCGAGCTCATAATCTAAAAGTTGTCTTTTACCAGCTGTGATGTGTTGTGTTTTACATTTATCGATTCCAAAGTCCATTTGTATGTCACGTGAGAATGTTTCGGTGATGTGCAGAAGGTGATTAAGTTTTATGCTTGTGGAAGAGTATAATTTAAGATCGTCCATGTAAAACAGGTGTGTAATGTTGTGATGTATTTCGTGGTTATGTTTAATATTGTACCCAAAGTTAGTAGTGTTTAACAAATATGAAAGTGGATTAAGAGCAAGACAAAACCAGAGCGGACTTAAAGAATCGCCTTGAAAAATTCCTCTTTTAATTTGTATTGGGTCAGTAATAAGTTTTGTGTCGTTTAGTGTAAGTGTTAACGTAGTGTTCCAACATGACATTATGTAATTGAGGAATTGTGTAATATTGTTGCTGACTTTGTATATTGAGAGTACTTGTTGTAACCAAGAGTGTGGTACTGAATCGAATGCTTTTTTGTAATCAATGTATGCAGTGTGTATGTTTCGTTTGTTATGTCTGGATTGTTCAAGTATTACAGAGTCTATAATGAGTTGCTCTTTACAGCCTCTGGAACACTTGGTACACCCTTTTTGTTCTTCGTATAAAATGTTGTTATCAGTACAGTGTTGGTATATTTTGTTTGTAATGCATGATGTAAGGATTTTGTATATTGTAGGAAGGCATGTAATTGGTCTATATTTAGATGGGTCTTGTGTATTGTTGTCTTTTGGGAGCATGTAAGTGATACCTTGTGTAAAGAATGCAGGAGTGCGATCTGGTGAATTAAGAAGTTCAGTAAATTGTTGTGCAAGGTAAGAGTGAGTGTAGGTAAAATATTTCCACCAAAAGTTGTGAATGTTATCAATGCCTGGACTTTTCCAGTTATGTAAGTGATTAATAGTTTGAATGATGTCTGTTGTAGTGATGTTTGTGTTATTCATAGGGGTAATGTATTCAGTGCGTGTGGTTTCTGTGGTAATCCACGGGGCGTGTGGATTGTGTTTAATGTCTTTGGTCCATAAGTCAGACCAGTATTGCTGGAGTGAGTGTAGAGATGGTGGAATGAGTTTTTCATTAGTGCTGTTTTGTTTAGTGATCTGTAATAGTTATTTACATAATAAGTCATGAAAGTGGTCGTTTACATGACGCGGAGGCTTATTGAAAAGTACGAGGACGCGCAGCGTCCGAGTATCTCTTTAATGCCTCCAAGTCAGGTGGACTCACTTTCATGACGTATTATGTATAAAATTTTACCTGAAACCGCAACATGTAGATAACTTTTCCAAATTAAATTATTCATATGTGTGAAATTTTGATACCTAATCACGCATGCTAAAATCACTTTATTTAATTGTTTCCATAGAGATTTCAAAATAATTAAAACAATCAGTGTCATTTTTAATGCAGTTTGCAGTTTATGCTTTGTACTTTTCAACTATACAGTCTTTATAACTAGGTACAAAAGCAGGTATCAGTGAAGAAGAGTACCTACGCGAGACGTTGTTATAATGTAGCCGAAGCTGCGGCCGCCGTAGTGCAATATTCGCTCCCCACAAAGTCAAGAAAGAGGTACGAAAAGGCGTACAAACCTTTTAATGACTGGCACAAAACTAAAGGAATAATTACTTCCACACATATTCCATTAATTGTTAGTAATTAAAAGACCATTATCCTTTTTGTAATTATATTAATATTTAAAAATATCCACATAGTCTGCATTATAATTATATGAATATAATAATTATTCAATGAACGATCTAATTGTTATTTTGCATGTACTAGGACTGTAATAGCAGCCAGGCAAAAATATTACAGTACTAGTCAGGTAAAGATCACCTTTCTAATGTCAAAATAACCCTGAAATTTAGATTTTCTTGACGGTTTCAGGTAAAAAATATATAATGAGCATACATTTTTGAGTCGTCCAAATCACGAAAATTAAAAGAAATCGATAAACTATGAGATTAACGGTTATAAACTTTTAGGCAGATTGGAGCGAACAATTTGTGTTCAACGTTCACGCTCGTAGCATCTTTCCATGCGAAGTGCACGGTGGAGGCATTACCGTACTATTTCAATATCCATCGTGTATTTTGGCGTCAGGTGATCGAGTTAGACTGTTTGCTAGATTAAGAGCAAACGTGGCATCATTGACTCCACCGACATCCTTAGAATACGTAGCCGAGCAGCGAATCTCAAGAGGACAGCACAGTTTACACTTTGATTGCGATTTGTTTACCGAGAAGTACGTCGAATACTGTTTTGTGTATGTAAGTCAAGCCATCACAGGAGCTGTAGCTGATGTGAGAATGGACTGTGTGCCTACTCTTCCCGTATCAGGTAATAACCGTACACGTTTGTTGCATCTAGTTCCCCCTGAGCAAAGTACGTCAATTCGCGCACTTCTTCAAATTCATTTAAAGTGGGGCCATAATTCTCATAATGACATACACAATAAATGGTAATTAAGTGGTAATGATTTTCCTAAAAGGGTTTTATGACTGTATGTCTACCTTTAAATTTAGGAGGATATCGATTTTTTTACTGCACTCTGTTGTAATTTAATTCTGAGAAACGAAATTTAAATGAAGCACCACAATGGAGTGTACATTTTTACTCACGTAATTAGAGCAAAATGAGAAAACAATTATCAATATTGTACAGTAATATTAACCATTTTACGCAATTTATATATTTATATTTGTAGAGTCGGAAACCGGTGGTTGGGGTCCATGGAGTTCTTGGACACCTTGTTCGAGTACTTGTGCTGGGGGATCAAGAAACCGTTATCGTTTTTGTGATTCGCCGCCACCTCGATATGGGGCCAAGTTTTGTGAGGTAGGGAAATGCATAGAGGTTCATTAGGTTAAAATTTGAAGGTAAACCGGTGTTGATGGATTAATCAATACAGTAACCATAGAAACAACTAAACATATCCGATACCGTAACAAGCGCGTGTTTTTAATGAAATTTCGTAAGTAGAATAATTACAGTGTTGTTATCGCGATTTTGTGGTTTTATCAGTAAATTAACGATGGGAAAGGGTTCGAAGCCTAAGGAAGCAGATCCTTCTGCCGACCACCTGTCAGAAGTTGACAAGACGTTCTACGAATTGACTATAGCCGATTTAAATCGTAAAATTGCAAGACTAAAAACCTTGACCGAGGAACTAGAGGTGAAAAATGTGGAATTACAGAAAAATCTTAAAACACTAGACGAGGATAGAAATGACGTAATTGCATATCTTAAACGCGTAATCCGCGACAAAACGGAAGAGGTGAAGGATTTTCATGAAAGGTTAACCGGAATCGAGGAAGCAAGGGAAGGGGAAAATAAAACGTTTAAAAAAGAAATCGCATCAATGAAGGACGAGTACAAAATTATGCACGAGCAGCTGACATCCGAAATTAAATTATTAAATGGTAAAATGAATTCTTTAGACGAATTTAGAGCACAAAAGGAAGAGTTGATGAAAAAGTTTGAGGCGCAAGAGAAGGAAATACTTGAACAAGAAGTTAGACACAAACGAGAGTTGTACGCCACTGAGAAAAAGTTTGTTGTGGGCAAAGATAACTTAAAAAAAGATATGGAAAAACGGCTTCTACAACTTTCAACCGATTTTCAAAACGTAACTGAAATGCGAATCGCGTCCACTACTCATCGCGTTATAAGGGAAAATATTGCCATAAACAATGAGCTAGATGCGGTGTTTACAACGCAAAAACGTCTGCACAATGACAACAAAGCGCTGATTGAAGAGAATAGGAAACTAAGATTAGATGCGTCCTTGTACAACGACGAAAAAAAGAAAGTTCTTAAAAAAAACTTGACACAAGTAGGCATTATTTCAAAATTGACGGAAAAACGTGACGAAGCTGAGCAAAAACTAGGCATGTACAAGAAAGTAGAGGCAGAATCAGTGTCTCTCAAAAGAGAGTTACTTCAATTAAATAATGAAAAAGAAAAATTGCAGTTCACCATTCGCATTTTAGAACAAAATCTGCACGCTAGTAGATGCGAGAGAAACGGTTTGGCAACCGAATTACGTGTAGCCGAGGATGAACTGAAAAGGCTCTCGGAAATTTTAAAAGAAGCAGTGTATTCAATAAAGGCGGCTTTAATGATAAAACCAGTTAAGGGTAAAATGACAAAGATCCATGATCGCAAACCCTTATTAAGCAATTTATTAAAATTAATGGATAAAGGTCAAGAGAATATACCAAGGAGCCCTTCACTGGAATCGGTGGATTCAACATCGGCAATATATGCCAAGGGTGACCTAGGTTTCGTTCCTAAACCAGTGATCTTACGGTCTAGAGTGCCTACTAGAAGACATCGTGAGGTACAAGTTAGTGCTAGTTTTGAAGATTTTCTTACGAGATATGTTCCGAAAATGGATATTCAAGACACCAAAAAAGTAGACACTGATAATGGCATCGATGAGACTCGCCCTGTCGTTCAATTTTCAATTGAAAGAATCACACCTGATACTACATCTGAACTTAAACAGTCCGAAGAAGAACGCGCTGTTTTTGAAAGTTCTGAATTGGAATCGAGCAGTACTGAATCACACCACGTAGACGATTATGTGCAGTTTACAATCCTACCGGAAGCACTTGATGAACCTGATTTCGCCGAAATCCCTGAACCAGAAGAAATTGATAACGCCCCTGCTCAAGTGGAAAATATTGCCACTACTTCAGATGTAGTATCCGATAAGGAGGGCGGTCTTGCGGAGGCTGATCTAAAGGAATAAGCTTTGTTTCATTTTTATTTGTTAATATCTACCTAATTGTGTTCGTGTAAAAAAAAATTAAATTAATCGCACTGTGGATGGTCATTGGTCAATTGTTTAATTAATTACATTTAAGGGGCCACGAGTTCAAACCGAAAAGTGTGGATTCGACACAGCTAACAGTTGGGAATGTATATACGGATCATCTTTACCAAACGAAATAGTCGCAAACTTACCCGAGGTTCAAGCGGAAATGAGCCCATTCTGCAGATGTGGTTGTGTAGTACATTTGGGGACAACTAAACCTTACAGAATAATCGCGGCATCGTCCCAGAGTTGCCCTGGGCGCACATTTTGGTTGATTGAGGTAAGATAGATATCTATAGGCGTTTAGATTTTAAATGCAGGTTTCTACAGGCAGATGAAGCGCACATGATCCAGTTTCGCGTTGAACAGTTCCGACTACCGTGCACATCTCAGTGGTTAAAGATACGGGATGGAAGCTCTCTTTCCGCCATTTTGCTGGCAGATATCTCTGGAGGATCTGACATAGATACGCCAATAATTAATTCCTCCGGTTCCAATCTACTTTTGGAGTTCTATTCAAACGAGGACGAATCTTCGAGTCACTTATGTAATGGGGCATTTGTAGTTAAAGCCATGCAATTGGGTACGAAGTAAGATAGAGTGATCTTTTAAGCTACTAATCTATCATTTAGGACCCATTAGAAATAATGCGAGTGGTATAGCAAATGCGCAAGGTATTGGAATCTTACCTTCCGTCGCGTTAAAGCTTACAGCGGTACATATAGCGGCAATTTTTTTTCTAAGTGGCCTTTCAGTAGCAACAGCTTTATTAGGAGCTCAATATCTGTGCCGATACAGAAAATATCACATAGCCCATGCTGATGACCAAGATTCGTTAGCGGACCCCACAGGTGAGATTAAGGTAATCGTTCTCACCGCTCTCACCCTTACAGTTTCAGTGTCATGTGTAAGTTTACCCGTTAGAACGCGGGCGTCATCCAGCACTACTTTGTTATCAGAAGTAATATCTCTAACCAGGTTGAAGCCATTGAAATCTCGCAATAAACACAACCTCCTTAGAGAATCCATGGATTGCGAACAAAGCGAAGAATTACAAGTAACACTGGCGTAAGCAATTGATATGTAACATAACAAACAAAACAATTTATACAGTCATCTTACATTAAATATCTACTTATTCTATGCAATTGTTTTCGCATATTTAATAATTTTACTCTTTATTAGAAAAGCGGAAGACACATTCAGTGTTAGTAGCACCGTTACCATGACACAACAAGACACTAGTACAACTGGAGTGATGCAAGCGAGTGAAACGGAAGATTTAAGTACGTGTAGTTTACCCAATTCGCCTCAATGTCATCAAGAATACATGCGGCGATCTTCAGTACAGTCAGATAAAGACGTATCTGCAGAGAAAGAAGACAAAAAATCTTTAGCTCCCAGAAGATTCAGTAACGGCAGCACGGCTACCCTAACAAATGTGAGAACCGACACAAATTCCAAAAGCGATCTGGTGGGACATTTTTACATTCTAAAAATATGCACGTACTCACTATCGCACGAACAAGGTTTTTTATTTGCACCAGCGTTTGTTCACCTGAGCACTTTTGGAACGCACTGACTTCCTAACACGTTTGTAAAATCCATTTAATAATTCCAGGGAAACTACTCTCCAGCTTTAAGCATGGTTAGTAAGGCGACAATACGTCCAACAACTGAGAAGGAGAGCAAGGACAAAAGAAACAGGGAGAAACTGTTGGCAGGACCACTAGGTTCCGAGTTTTCTATAGCGGCGCCTGACATCGATTTAGAAATGGATTACTATGACTACAATGTGATAAATGCGGGAGCGGCACCTGGTTCCTACCTAGGTATGGATCCAGCCTTTTTAGTATGGATTCCTCCTCTCGATGAAGATGGGGAGATTTTGCAAGATATAGATGATATGGTAACACCGTATGCGGATGTAAAGCCAGACGAATATATCGAAGCCGGCAGCAACAAGGAGTGCGCCGAAGAGGAATGTTTGTTACCTAAGCGTAAGAGATCACTAAGCGATAGTGGCACTAAACCTCATTCACTTATCAGTAAAGATAAGAAAGTTCACCCAGCTTTGGACTGTAATAAAGCAGATGAGTTTGATACAAAAAAATTTTTGATAGTGAAGGGTGATCAGGATACCACGTTTGATATATCAAAACGTAAATTGGTTAAGAGTCTACCAGAGGTGGGTGATAACACGGAGAAAGAGACCAAAGTAGAGAAATCACCAATAGATAATGATAGCTTAGATGAAATTAAGTTTGCTGACGACGAAGACGATGAAATGACTGAACACGAGTGCAATATTCAAAAATCATATCAAGACTCAAATGTTTTATCTTCCAGTTAAAGTATATTTATCACTTTTTTTAAACAGCTTGTATAGTTGTTATGTAATATCAATGATCTATGACTTTGTTATGGTACAATTTAGCAATCAAATATCAAACAAATGAGACTGTTTAAGAGGCATTACTACCTACTAGTTAAAAGCAGATCAAAATAGCTCAGGATGAGCAGTTTTAGGAGATTAATAGATTAGATTTATTTTTGCAAACGATGTTAAAACCGTGGTAATCAATCTATTTGTTGATTTTAATAACACGCGATTTCCTACATGGTATTTTATTGGATTCGTTACCTTAACTAATTTAGATAAGGCTTGATCTTAAAGTTATCAATTATTGAATGTACAGTACATGCTTATCTTTGTTAAAGTAGAGGAAAAGTGACGAATGTCGGGATTATAGGCCCTTAAGATACAAGAAGAAATGCGTTTTTGATGGAACCAGCGTCTTTTAAATTTTGTAATATAGGCAACTGGCAGTGAACAATTTGTTTTATGTTCTGTTTGTGATAGCACACATCCGTCAAACAATTTTCTTGGGGATAAGATGCTACAAACAAAGGTTACGCACCTTCTAAGTATAATCAAAAGCACTTTTGTACAAAGGATTTTTAATTCACAGATTTTTTACAAAAAAAATTAAATGATATGTATCTATGGCCATATTTATGTTATCATTTGGAAGATGTAAATTGTAAAAAAAATGTGTAAAGGTAATAAAAGCATAGGAGCTGATGCAAAGTATAGTTTGATTTCATGTCGTAGATTTATCGTTACCTTTAAAAAAAATGTACCTACGTGGACTGTTAGCATAGCAGTGCCTGATTATTGCAAAAAATGACAAAAAGTGAAAGAATAGAAGCTTATGTTGGATTGTGGGCCTCATTCTTTCATCACTGGGAAATGAGTGCATTTTGAATGCTACGAACGGCCTCGATGCATTAGATTATGACTCTAAACATTGACAACAGGATGAAACTTAATGGATCTAGGGTACAATAATGAAATTCTTTGAAATGCTATTGATAGGGCGCTGAAAATTACCGCTCAGGTATGTTTGGAAGAAAATTCTACTTTGCAATAGTTGGTAAAGGAAGCAACCTGGTTTAAACTTCTAGGCAAAAATCGAGATAGGTATCTAAAAAAACAACAAAAGCATCAGAAGGTTTGACCTGAGATAAGGATCGAGCTAAACCTCCCTTGTCGTTACATTACTACTGAAAAATCACGACAACTATACGGTCATTGATGTGCCGGAATACCTAACCGCCAATGTACTTGATAGGAGATGAACATTTTTGAAAAGTATTTACATCCCTTCTAACTTACCCATTACACGCTACAACGATGTAGTTGCTGACGGTGAAAAAGCAAAGATAATCCATATGTGTCTAGATGGTCTGGTCATGCTTGCTAATGAGTTGAACGAAGCATACCGTCTAAGTTTTTTAAAGTAAATCGTCTTTCTCTCTGTGGCTACTCACTCACCATCCATCATAAGTCTTTTTCTTTTAACTTGGACCTTGTACAACTCCGATTTATTAACAAGCTTTGGGTGGGCAGAGCTGGCTAACGCAAGTGAAGATCTTATGACAATTTGAGGAAGCCGACTGGGACTTGTTCCGATGCCATCTGGTTGAAGCACCGCTTTAGAGTTGATATCCTTGATGACAACAGGAAGCCTCGGGCAAACTTAAACAAAGTAAACGGCAACTGCAGGAAGTCTACAGAGCAAGATGCGGCCAATTTTACTAAGCAGGAATGAAAGCAACAAAACACAAATTAGCGGCACCTACGGGCAAGCAAATGTAGGAAAGCGAAACAGTGTTCTTCCCTTACAAATAATGGAACAGAAAGTAACAAAAAGCTTATTTCGTAATTAAATCGGTTAAAGCAAAAGGGCAAGTAAAAAAACAAAGCACAAAATGCAAAAACAGAAGGGGAGATGGATTTTACCTGCTGGACGGTGTGGACTTGCGATCACGCTCGAAAATAAAAACTTCTTTATCTCCGCGCTCTACCGAAAATCAGAGTTTGCACTCTTATTTGCGGGAGCAAAGTGTGAGTTTACTTTTTGCGGGAGGTAAAGTAATCAAAAATTCCCTACGGGAGGTAAAATAATTTCCATGGAAACGTAAATGTGTTGGTATGTAACCTACACTCTGGCGTTTCAGAATGTATAGTTAATTTTGGGTATTTGATGTCCATATTTTTCTTCACGGCCCAGGGGGCTTTTAACATCGAATACTTAGACCAAAACGAAGATAACTAGATACCTACCTAAATATATTGACCGAAATTTCATTCGTCTTCCTCGCAGTTTTCTTTGTGGACCATTGATTGTGCACCGAATAATCTTGTAAGCACTTTTGTTGCGATTTCTGGGGCAACCTTACGGCATTGGCTCCTTATTTCACATAGGGAAGATTTCAAATCTAAATCGCTTTTTGTCGCTATTAAAAGTATTCCAAACTACTCAGGATACTATTTAAATGCACATTTTAAAACTTGGAAATTACTTGTCAATTGTTATCTAGTATTGACAGCCGGTTGCTAGATGACAATGGGCGATCGCGTATAAATATTGATGTCCTTTAACGAAGTACCTCCGTACCTCCTAGCGGTGCGTCGTTAAGGTAGCTACTCTGTTTTTTTTAACGAAAACAAATTGATGAACGCGAAA